ACGTTCCAACATGTTTCGTATCGTGTCAAAAGTCGTTCTGTGTGACAGGCGCAAGACTTCTGAGCTGTTTTCACAAGATGATTTGCATTTTTCGTGGTCCATCCGCAACGTTTGTCCAGAACTATAGCGTCCAGCATCCTTCGTGGAGCCTCTGACTAGGTCTCGGTGACTTGGGATGTTCAGCTTGATCCTGATGAATTGGTGCTTCGCTTCACTGCTTTGAATGGCGACGCTTTCAACCTGCAGAACTACTACTCGTTGCAAAGCAATTTGGGCACGCGTCGCCGTGGGCAGTCTCGGTGCATTTTCCAAAAAAGCCCCGCTGCTGCGGGGCGTGTGTGTGAACCATCTCAAAAGATGTAAAACTTGTACCGGTTTTTCTCGTTTTGAGGTTTCATCTATGCAGGGGGGAGTGGCCCACTCATGAGCACACTGGCAATGAAGCTACTCATGAGTTGAAAGGATATCGGGACTGATCATCCCGACGTACCTGCAAAGATCTTACTTTCTGGACATGGGATGGGCCAACCCAAGAACCATCTCGCCGAACAGTTTGCAATTTCACTTCATTGGCTTTTTCATGTACTGTACGTACGTGGCCGCAATCTGAGACTTACTTCAACAATCTTGTCAAAACATTTTTTGACTTCTACTACACTGGCTATGGCGATGGTAGCCTTCTGATACTTTTTCGGGTCTCTTCACCGACCCATTTCTGTCAGGTGAAACACGAGTGTTTTTGCACGTAGGATGCATTCCACAACAGAATTCGCAATGACAGTTCTGAGCAAGTGTGCAAGTGAACATGAACGTTCTCGGCACCCCACTTTCATTTATACTCCACACTCACTTTGTGCTCGACAGTCCATACGTCACACCCACACTCTACATTCCACACTCCACACTCTACACTTTACACTCCACATTGCGCCCTCCACGCTTTACACTCCACGTTCTACACTCCCCACTCCCCACTCCGTACTCCACACTTTACACTTCCCAATCCACTCGACACTCAACACTCCAGCAATCTACGCTCCGCACCTTACACACTAGACTTTCCAGTCCAGACTCCACTCTTCTTAATTACACTCCCCACTTAACACTCCCCACTTAACACTCCCCACTCAACATTCCACTCTTTATACTCCACACTGCCAAGTCCACAATCTGCACTCTCCCCACTCCACACTCTACAGTGTACAGTTGTACGGTAAGAGGGAAAAATGCACAAGGTTGTTGAAATAGTTTCTTTTCGCATGAGTGTTGTTTTACGTAGCTGCATTTGGGTTCGTTGGTTGGTCTTGTTTTTCATGACTGACTTATCCAAACCTGGTAGTCTCAGTCTCAGTAGTTTGCCATCCGCCATCTTGCAGGACAAGTATTTGTGCCCTGTCTGCATTTACTCACAAGGGGCAATGCGAGGGGCCTCCTCTGGTCCAAATAAGATGTGTTTTGACGCGCGTGCACCGCCTTGCGTCTATCTTAATATGATGATATGATTGTAGACAACAAATGGTCAGCCAGAAGCCCTGGTGGACGTTGATATGATTGCTCATTGGCAGCCTTACTTAAATCATCCAGAATATGATTTCTTCATGTCTCCCGTTGTATCAAGGAAGGCAAAAAAATCCTCCACCAGGACAAGACTCGGAACTCGACACTTAACACCCTCCAACCCGCGGCTGAGTTTTTCCTGTCAACTGGAAACAGCGTTTACTTGGGCCTCGGGTTGGAGTATGCTGCAACGTTCATGTTGAAGTTGAGAACATGCACAAACATTGAGTTGATTGCGATCGCTATCTCGTTCCTTAGCTGATCCCACCATCACGCAGCTTGCCAGGAGGCCTAGTGACTATTTCAGATCACCGTCTAATTTTTCTTTTGCGTTCCATTCATACATAGACCATAATACATAATAGAGCACTATAGACTATTGCAAATTTGCTCGTCACTGCTTGTTCTGTCAGGTTGGTGGTTTGAGGCGCCTGATTCAAAACTTTGGGCGCGAATTAGGCACAGTCGAACGGTTGGGCATCATGCCAATGCAGCGGTCTTGAACCCCAAAGGAACGCAGATTCACTTTAGGAGTCATTAAGGAAGCTGATATCTCCAGAGCAAACATGATTTGATGCAAATTTGTATGCTTACTGTTGCATGCTTTCAGCACGTGGTAGTGGTGGGCCCAAGGCACACTTTCACCATGATGTTTGCCACACTGTATGCAAATGCCACCATGAGAAACAGACATGAGTGTGAGGCCCCATTTCAAAAGAAATCCGCAGCCGCACACATGGCAGTGATAAGGAATAAACCTGCTTTCTTGCGCACTCGATTGCCCAATAAGGATTGTATACGATGGGACGCCACTGGAGTTCAGGATCGCAGGGTTTCTTTTGGTGTCCTCTATTTTGGACGGCGCAGGGAGAATAGGAAAAACCACGATTTAGATTTGGCATTGTGGCCGTTGTTTCCATGTACAGGAAAATGTGCATTAATTCATTATTTATTGATGGTTCAGACATTATCGGTTGTATGCAGACACTGTTCAGTTTCGCTTGGGCCATCAGAATTCTAAGCGTATTCAACATTGATGGAGCCAGGGGAATCAGATGTTCGCTGAAGAGAAAACAGTAAGACGCATTGATATTCTTTTAAGCAAGTCTTGTTTTTGAAACGTGCCAGACAGATCTAATCTAGACAGCGCTGTGGCTCCTGTAATCCCAGTAGAGCGCTGTAAACAGCGTCACTGCGCATGTTTCTTGGCTTTTGTTGCCAAAGTTTCCAGAAAGAAGCCAGACAAAAGGCCGAAACTAGAACCGCAATTCTTTCATGGTATCACCAAATTTGGGTGCAGTGAGCCTCACGGGGGCCATAAGTTTGTGGCTGATCATGTTGCAAATGGCTGATGATGATAGACTGATAGACTCGTTTTTCAATCCAAACCATATCTATGAAAACATTTAATGTTGATTCCTGCAAGATTGGTATTGCCATGCTCTTCCCCAATTCCCGATTCTGGAGACCCGTTGTGCTTCTGTGTACAGACTCAGCTTTGCTGAGGAATGGGCCATTTCCATCTACAACAGAAGATTGCTTTATGTATATATCTTAAACTTTTTTACTTCCATTCGAATATCAAGCAACTCTTGTCGACAACACTGAACTTCTTGATGGCGTGATGGCTGGAACTAGCCAATGAAAGAATCTCCTTCAAGCTTCCATGGCTCATGCCTCCAGACTTCGTTGCTTTCCGCTGAACGCTGATGTTTGTGCCAACACAGACTGAGAAGCTCGTGAAAAACTACGCAGCATTATTCAGGGAGCGACGGCCGGTCAAAGCCGAAACTTTGTCAAGTACCACCCAAGCCCTTCCTGTCCAACCTTGAGAGTGGCAGGAAAACAAGGTAAAATAAGAGATGTAAACCAATTTCAATGTTTCTGCTTTACGACATCATGGACGAATTCCGGCAGCCCAATTGAAGCAGTCACGGCGCAGAAGCTTCAAGCTCAAGCCGAAACGAATCCTCCTGGACTTGCTGGAATGGATGAAGGCCTCCTAGCAAGGACCTTGGACCAACTTCGACGCCGCTTGTCATTCTCTGCTTTGGACCCGGCAAAGACGTACCTGATGCCACCAGAGCCACGTGCTTTCTAAGTATCATGAAGTTAAACATGACAGCGTGATTTTGGGGCGCGTGTTCGCTTCGGTCGTATTTTTCAATCGCTTTGGTCGCATATTTGCATCGCTTCAGTCCCTTTTTTCTAATCGCTTTGGCCGTAAAGTAGACGTTCCTTCCTCTAGTGAGTTCCGAAGCCCGGTTCTTGGTTTTTCCCGTTGCCTGGCTGTGGGTTCACGGGTGCTGGTTCTTAGTTCTTGGTCCTTGGCTCGGGTTCCTGGTTCTTGGTTCTTAGTTCTTGCCGCCGGCTTCGTCCCGGGTTCTTGGTTCTTGGTCCTTGGTCTGGGGCTCCTGGTTCTGGTTCTTGGTTCTTGCTTCTGGCCTCGTTCCTGCTTCTTGGTTTATGGTTCTTGATTTGCGGTGCCTGGTTCTTGGTTCGGGGTTTCTGGTTCTTGGTTCCGGGTTCCTGGTTCTTGGTTCTTGTTGCTGGCTTCGTTCCTGGTTCATGGTTCTTGGTTTTTGGTTTGTGGTTCCGGGTTATTTCTTTCTTCCCGGTTATTCTAGGTCCTTGGTTCGTGGTTCCTGGTCCTGGAGGCGATACCGGCTGTCAGTGATGTGCATCGATAGCAAAAGTGAGGTCTGATTTTGCATGTAAGCCGAACAGCACATCAGACTTGAGATTACCCCAACCTAATGTGTGGCGTGATTGTGGTATCGCGCTTCTTACTAGACAAGGATTTTCCTGGATCATAGACATACATCTTTTATATATATCTATCTATCTATCTGTCTGTCTGTCTATCTATCCATCCATCCATCCATCGATCTATCTATCGATCTATCTAGCTAGCTAGCTATCTATCTTATCTATCTTATCTATCTATCTATCTATCTATCCATCTATCTATCTATCTATCTATCTATCTATCTAAATATACATATTTAATCATACATACATATATATATATAGGGCGAAGGCTGGGGGTTCCGGAAGCCAATTGCATTTTATTTGTATGGATATGGAAAATGTTGATTTTACACTGTGTTTTACAGTGTTTTATGCTTTTCTCTGAAAGTGTGCGATCAGCCAAAGTTTCAATGTCGGCGCGGGTAAACTTGACGTTTGTCCGCGCAGAAAAAAGATAAATTTACATCTTCCATGGATGGCCAAAAATGTGTGCAACATTCTACCCATTGGAATTGCGGTTTCATGCATTTTTGGTCGTTTTGTTGATAACTAGAAAATGTCATCATTCACTGGAGAACCATGGACGAAATGAACATCACACCTTTTTCATCTTCACGTCCACAAAGGCTTTTTGAAGCAGTTGCTTGGAGCGAGAGCAACAACAATACTTACAACGCAACAACATCGTCAACGAAGCAACATCCTCAAGGTTTCCACAACTCTGAATCCAACGCACTCCACATGACGTTATTACACCCCCCCACACCCCTTCTGTAAACAACAACGATACTTGCAACGCAACAACATCTTCGACGAAGCAACATCCTCAAGGTTTCCACAACTCTCAATGCAACGCGCTCCACATGACTAATAACCCCCCCCCCCCCCCCCCCCCCCCCCCATCTCTATACCATAACGACGTTTGTAGTATAGGCTCAAGACTGAGGGTTCCTGGAAGCTCCGGGGAACCTCCAGCCTTGAGCCTATAAATAAATATATATATATATATACATATGCACATCAGGTATAGTGGCATGCATGTGCGTATACTCATTTCAAGCTAGTCCCATCCATTTTCTTGCCTCAGAAGTTGGGGTACTGGGTTGGAAAACGTTGTATGATTCCAACGTGTCCTTGTTTGCGATAGCAATGCTTGGCCATAGTGCTGTATAGTATATGTTTCACGGCTGTGGGCTGCAATTTGTTAATGCTTAACATCACCGGACACAACGCAGCAGCGCGGTACGACAACTCAGAATGTAGCAAAACATTGGTATGACGAGGGTGTTACTGGCAAGACTTAGCTGGCACACGCATTGAAAGAATGTATATACTATTGAAATAATGTATATATATGTATATACTATTGCCAGTCCACAGGAATGCAAAAATCTAGACAGGTGGACTGTGCAACCGTTCAAGTTTGCTCTTGTTGTCCTCTCGAACCTACACTGCCAGCATCACAGCTCCACCAGTACCAGCACCACCATACACATAACAACAAGAGTTGGGGATCTTCTTTGGGCTTATGTTGCTAGTTTTCGGATCTGCGGAGCGGCTATTAGGGGGCGGCTCTTTTGCTATTCTTCTCACCCTAAACACACCTAATCCTCTTCTCTCCGCTTTGTTTTAAACCCCAGGTTTCAACCTGAAAGATACCTGGTTCTTGGTTCTTGGTTCTTTGTGGTCAGTTCTCACATCTTGTTTCTGGAACGCTGCGCCTTTCCCCCGCGCGGCCCACCCAAGTGTGATTTTAATTGCTGCCCTTTCTATCCTCCCACTCCTCAATTATTATTATGCCCAGTATCAGTATGCTGGTACTCCTGAGTTCCTTTCTCCTTTCTGCTGCTTTTGTTGCTTCTACGACCGGTTCTATTGTCATTGCTGCCCAACCGGCACTTGCTGCTATTTTCTTTTGTGCTGGAACATGTCCGTGCCGCCCCCCGCGTCCGCCACCGGCTTTCGTTTGAATGGTTGCTTTTGTTATCCTCCTGAACCTCCGCTGCCAGCACCACAGCTACAACCAGCACCAGCACCACCATACGCATAACAGCAAGATCACGGCAACTGCGACCAAGACTTGTTCCTTTTGCTTTTTTGCTGGAACGCGTTGCGAGGGGAGGCGCTGCGCCGTCCCCCCGTGCCTCCCACCCGCTTTTGCTATCCTCCTCAACCTCCATTGCCAGCACCGCAGCAACAACCAGCACCACCACCACCACCATACATGTAACAACAAGACCACGGCAACTGCCACTGAGACTTGTTCCTTTTGCTTCTTTGCTGGAACGCATTGCGGGGGGAGGCGCTACGCCTTTTGTTCAGTGGCTCCGGGTTCTTGGTTCTTGGTTCTTGCCGCTGGCTTTGTCCCGGGTTCTTGGTTCTTCCTTGGTCTAGGGTTCCTGGTTCTGGTTTGGTGTTCCTGGTTCTTGGTTCTTGCTTCTGGCTTCGTTCCTGGTTCTTGGTTGGTGGTTCTTGGTTCGGGGTTTCTGGTTCTTGGTTCCGGGTTCCTGGTTCTTGGTTCTTGCCGCTGGCCTCGTCCCGGGTTCTTGGTTCTTCCTTGGTCTAGGGTTCCTGGTTCTTGGTTCTTGCTTCTGGCCTCGTTCCTGCTTCTTGGTTTATGGTTCTTGATTTGCGGTGCCTGGTTCTTGGTTCGGGGTTTCTGGTTCTTGGTTCCGGGTTCCTGGTTCTTGGTTCTTGTTGCTGGCTTCGTTCCTGGTTCATGGTTCTTGGTTTTTGGTTTGTGGTTCCGGGTTATTTCTTTGTTCCCGGTCCTAGGTCCTTGGTTCGTGGTTCCTAGTCCTGGACGAAAGCAGCGATCACTTCCACGCATGCGCGCAAGGCGATACCGGCTGCCATCGATGTGCATCGATAGCAAAAGCGACGCGTGACTTTGCATGTAAGCCGAACAGCACGTCAAACTTGAAATTTCCTCAACCTAATGTGTGGCGTGGTTGCGGTACTGCGTGGAAAATAACTTTCCTGGGTCATAGACTTTTTTTATATCTCTATCTAGCTATCCTATCTATCCTATCTATCCTATCTATCATATCTATCCTATCTATCCTATCTTATCCATTTGATCTTTCTTTTCTGTCTTTTCTATCTTTTCTATCTTATCTATCTTATCTATCTTTTCTATCCTATCTATCTTGTCTTTCTTTTCTATCTTTTCTATCTTTTCGATCTTATCTATCTTATCTATCTTATCTATCTCATCTATCTCATCTATTCTTCTTTCTTTTGTATCTTTTCTTTCTTATCTATCTTATCTATCTTATCTATCTTATCTATCTTTTCTATCCCATCTATCTCCACTATCTTGTCTATCTTATCTGTCTTATCTGTCTTATCTGTCTTATCTGTCTTATCTATCTTATCTATCTTATCTATCTTATCTATCTTATCTATCCCATCTATCTTTTCTATCTTTTCTATCTGTTCCATCTTATCTGTCTTATCTGTCTTATCTATCTATCTATCTTATCTGTTTGTCTGTCTGTCTGTCTGTCTGTCTGTCTGTCTATCCATCTATCTACCTATCTATTTATCTACCTATCTACCTATCTACCTATCTACCTATCTACCTATCTATCTATCTATCTATCTATCTATCTATCTATCTATCTGTCTATCCGTCTATCTATCTATCTCTCTGTCTGTCTATCTATCTATCTTTCTATCTATCGATCTTTCGATCTATCTATCGATCTATCGATCTATCGATCGATCAATCGATCTATCTACCTATCTATCTATCTATCTAATCTAACCTAACCTGACCTAATCCAATCTAATCTAATCTCACCTAATCCAATCTAATTTAATCTAATCTAATCAAATTTAATCTATATAATCTAATCTAATCTATCCTCATCTAATCTATCTTATCTTACCTGATCTCATCTCATCTCATCTAACCTCATCTCATTTTATCTTATCTTATCTTTTCTTGTCTTATCTTAGCTTATCTTATCTTGTCTTGTCTTTATCTCTGTCTTCATCTTTTTCTTTATCTTTATCTGTATCTTTATTTTTATATTTACCTCTATCTTATCTTATCTTATCTTATCGTATCTTATCTTGTCTTATCTAATCTATCTATCTATCTATCTTTCTATCTATCTATCTATCTTTCTATCTATCTATCTATCTTTCTATCTATCTATCTATCTATCTATCTATCTATCTATCTTAATATATATATATATACACATCAGTTATAGTGGCATGCATGTGCGTATATTCTATCAAGATAGTTGCATCCATTGTCTTGCTTCACAAGTTGAGGTACTGGATTGGAAAACGTTGCATGATTCCAACGCGTCCTCGTTTGCGCTTAGCAATGCCATAGTGCTGCATAGTATGTGTTTCGCGGCTGTGGGCTGCAAATTTTGAATGCCTAACATCACTGGACACAATGCAGCAGCGCAGTACGACAACTCAGAATGTAGAAAAACATTGGTATGATGAGGATGTTATTGGCAGGACATATGGCACACGCATTGAAAGAATATATATTACTGCCAGACCACATGTCCTGTTGCTGGTGGGGTAAGGAAAAAGAGGCAACCCTAGACGTGTGTTTTGGATGCATAACCTGGAAGTTTGACCAATGTGCTGTAAATTTATGATCACAATGAAAAATTTTCGTCGAACAAATTGATTTATGTCCAAAGTGATCAAAGTGATCATCATTGGATACAAAACCTTGATTTTTGACCAAAAAATGATTGTTTTTTGCCTGAAGTGATCATCGGTGGTCATGGGATGATTTATGAACAAAGTGATGGAAATTTATGGCCGAAGTGATCTCTTTGCCTGTGATTTTGCAGGGGTTGCAATGACCACATTTTTGCACGTTGCATGCAAACACTTACTGAGTCACTGATGCTTCCAATCGTTTGTGATGCCATCGCTGTTCCAGACTGAGGAAGTCAAGAAAAACTGACAGGCCCTGATGGTCCTTTTCCACTGGCAGAAGAGGACGTGCAACATTTTGGCACAATACAGCAACTTCTTCTGTGAATTTCATGGTTTGGAGTTTTCGTCCACAAGCCCCATATGATTTGGGTTCAGGCGCGGTGCACTGCAATGATCCTGTTGCTTAGGTTTCTTTGAGGAAAAGAAAAAAACTAGCAAAAATACTGGGAGTGGAGGGTGGAAGCAGAGATGTGAAACAGAAGAAAAAATGCGCCAAGGCGATATCGCTGCTGGCAGAAAGGCCCCAACAGCTTAACTTGCCAAACGCTGCCCGAGTTTTTCAACGATAGCTTCGCCCGGAACACGGACAGAGAGTTCCTGGTCTCACGGCTAGAAACGATGGAGGCAGAAGAGCAATGTAAAGAGCAGAAAGGCTTCAGCGCCCTCTTTCGGCATGTTTCGGCATGTTTCAACTGCTTGCGCATGTTGCGCCTAGGTCTATGAAGGAGACCGTTTTACGTACGGTGACTCGCTAGCCATTGCAGTAGCCTTGTCTAGGGCGCTGGCTCAGAAGTTTGGAGTGGAAAGAGGCCGGGGTTTCGATGGCTGTGTCAGTCAATGCGACAGCGCCGTGACAATATGCGAGGCATTTTTTTTCGTGATTTGTTGTCTTCACATCTTGGTTTCATTTTGTTTCCCCATTTGGGTGCTTGCAGGTAAAAAGATTGCATGTCAGCAGTATTTGACGCCGTGTAATGTAATCATGTATAAATGGGCTAACGCCCTGGTGCCGCCGACCCCCTTGCAGGGGGGAGGAAGGAACGCGCATAGACTGTGTATATATATATATACATACATACATAGCTCCATAAATAAACGAACGACGCCTTCGAAGGCTGCTGCGGAGGGTTTTGATCTTCTAATTTCTTCGAAAGCTGCTGCGGAGGTTCGGACGGTTTGAAGTGGTGCCCAAAACGTGCCACGTAGCAGTTTCGAAGCCCAACAGAAACACATTTGAGGTTCTAAGGCCTTCGAAAGCTGCTGCGGGGCTTTTGAGGGTTTTTTAAAGGGGTGCCCAAAACGTGCCACGTAGCAGCTTCGAAGCCCAATAGAAACAGCTTGTGGGGCCTAGGGACGTACCATGGAGGGTTTTGAACTTCTAAGGCCTTCGAAAAGTACTGCGGGGCTTTTGGTGGTTTTAAGGGGTGCCCAAAACGTGCCACGTAGCAGTTTCGAAGCCCAATAGAAACAGAGGTGGGGCCTAGGGAGGTACCATGGCAAAGCAAGCGGGACGCCTTCGAAAGCTGCTGCGGAGGGTTTTGAGGTTCTAATTTCTTCGAAAGCTGCTGCGGGGTTTTTGGTGGTTTTAAGGGTTGCCCAAAACGTGCCACGAGTTTCGAAGCCCAATAGAAACAGCATGTGGGGCCTAGAAAGGTACCATGGCCAAGCAAGCGGGACGCCTTCGAAAGCTGCTGTGGATGGTTTTGGGGTTCAAAGGCCTGCGAAAGCTGCTGCGGGGCTTTTGAGGGTTTTAAGGCCTGCCCGGCCTGCCCAAAACGTGCCACGTAGCAGTTTCGAAGCCCAATAGAAACAGCTTCTGGGGCCTAGGGAGGTACCATGGCAAAGCAAGCGGGACGCCTTCAAAAGCTGCTGCGGAAGGTTTTGAACTTCTAAGGCCTTCGAAAGCTGCTGCGGGGCTTTTGAAGGTTTTAAGGCCTGCCCAAAACGTGCCACGTAGCAGTTTCGAAGCCCAATAGAAAAGCTTGTGGGGCCTACCTCCGCGCCAAGCAAGCGGGACGCCTGCGAAAGCTGCTGCGGGGGTTTTGAAGTTCTAAAGCCTTCGAAAGCTGCTGCGACGGTTTTGAAGGTTTTAAGGCCTGCCCAAAACGTGCCACGCAGCAGTTTTGAAGCCCAATAGAAACAGCTTGTGGGGCCTACCGAGGTACCATGGCAAAGCCAGCGAGACGCTTTCGAAAGCTGCTGCAGAGGGTTTTGAGGTGAAGCAAAATAGAAACAGCTTGTGGGGCCTATTCAAAGGCCAATAGAAACAGCTTGTGGGGCCTACGGAGGTACCATGGCCAAGCAAGCGGGACGCCTGCGAAAGCTGCTGCGGGAGGTTTTGAATTTCTAAGGCCTTCGCAAGCTGCTGCGGGGCTTTTGAGGGTTTTAAGGCTTGCCCAAAACGTGCCACGTAGCAGTTTCAAAGCCCAATAGAAACAGCTTGCGGGGCCTATGGAGGTACCATGGCCAAGCAAGCGGGACCCCTGCGAAAGCTGCTGCGGAAGGTTTTGAACTTCTAAGGCCTTCGAAAGTTGCTGCGGGGCGTTTGAGGGTCTTAGGGCCTGCCCAAAACGTGCCACGTAGCAGTTTCGAAGCCCAATAGGAACAGCTTGTGGGGCCTAGGGGATACCATGGCCAAGCAAGCGGGACCCCTGCGAAAGCTGCTGCGGAAGGATTTGAACTTCTAAGGCCTTGGAAAGCTGCTGCGGAGGTTTTGAAAATTTTAAGGCCTGCCCCAAAACGTGCCACGTAGCAGTTTCGAAGCCCAATAGAAACAGCTTGTGGGGCCTACGGAGGTACCATGGCCAAGCAAGCGGGACGCCTGCAAAAGCTGCTGCGGAAGGTTTTGAACTTCTAAGGCCTTCGAAAGCTGCTGCGGGGCTTTTGAAGGTTTTAAGGCCTGCCCAAAACGTGCCACGTATAGCAGTTTCGAAGCCCAATAGAAAAGCTTGTGGGGCCTACGGAGGTACCATGGCCAAGCAAGCGGGACGCCTTCGAAAGCTGCTGCGGAAGGTGTTGAACTTCTAAGGCCTTCGAAAGCTGCTGCGGGGCTTTTGAGGGTCTTAAGGCCTGCCCAAAACGTGCCACGTAGCAGTTTCGAAGCCCAATAGAAACAGCTTGTGGGGCCTACGGAGGTACCATGGCCAAGCAAGCGGGACGCCTGCGAAAGCTGCTGTGGGGGTTTTGACGTTCTAAGGCCTTCGAAAGCTGCTGCGAAAGTTTTGATGATTTGAAGGGGTTGCCAAAACGTGCCACGTAGCAGTGGTGAAGCCCAATAGAAACAGCTTGTGGGGCCTAGGAAATTACCATGGCAAAGCAAGCGGGACGCCTTCGAAAGCTGCTGCGGGAGGTTTTGAACGTCTAAGGCCTTCGAAAGCTGCTGCGGGGCTTTTGAAGGTTTTAAGGCCTGCCCAAAACGTGCCACGTAGCAGTTTCGAAGCCCAATAGGAACAGCTTGTGGGGCCTACGGAGGTACCATGGCCAAGCAAGCGGGACGCCTGCGAAAGCTGCTGCGGAAGGTTTTGAACTTCTAAGGCCTTCGAAAGCTGCTGCGGAACTTTTGAAGGTTTTAAGGCCTGCCCAAAACGTGCCACGTAGCAGTTTCGAAGCCAACAGAAACAGCTTGTGGGGCCTACGGAGGTACCATGGCTAAGCAAGCGGGACGCCTGCGAAAGCTGCTGCGGAAGGTTTTGAACTTCTAAGGCCTTCGAAAGCTGCTGCGGGGTTTTTGAAGGTTTTAAGGCTTGCCCAAAACGTGCCACGTAGCAGTTTCGAAGCCCAATAGAAACAGCTTGTGGGGCCTAGGGGATACCATGGCCAAGCAAGCGGGACCCCTGCGAAAGCTGCTGCGGAAGGATTTGAACTTCTAAGGCCTTGGAAAGCTGCTGCGGAGGTTTTGAAAATTTTAAGGCCTGCCCCAAAACGTGCCACGTAGCAGTTTCGAAGCCCAATAGAAACAGCTTGTGGGGCCTACGGAGGTACCATGGCCAAGCAAGCGGGACGCCTGCGAAAGCTGCTGCGGAAGGTTTTGAACTTCTAAGGCCTTCGAAAGCTGCTGCGGAGCTTTTGAAGGTCTTAAGGCCTGTCCAAAACGTGCCACGTAGCAGTTTTGAAGCCCAATAGAAACAGCTTGTGGGGCCTACGGAGTTACCATGGCCAAGCAAGCGGGACGCCTTCGAAAGCTGCTGCGGAAGGTTTTGAATTTCTAAGGCCTTCGAAAGCTGTCGCGGGGCTTTTGAAGGTTTTAAGGCTTGCCCAAAACGTGCCACGTGGCAGTTTCGAAGCCCAATAGCTTGTGGGGCCTAGGGGATACCACATGGCAAAGCAAGCGGGACGCCTGCTGCTGCGGGAGGTTTTGAACTTCTAAGGCCTTCGAAAGCTGCTGCGGGGCTTTTGAAGGTTTTAAGGCCTGCCCAAAACGTGCCACGTATAGCAGTTTCGAAGCCCAATACAAGCAGCTTGTGGGGCCTACGGAGTTACCATGGCCAAGCAAGCGGGACGCCTGCGAAAGCTGCTGCGGGAGGTTTTGAATTTCTAAGGCCTTCGAAAGCTGCTGCGGAGCTTTTGAGGGTTTTAAGGCCTGCCCAAAGCGTGCCACGTAGCAGTTTCGAAGCCCAATAGAAACAACTTGTGGGGAGTACCGAGGTACCATGCCCAAGCAAGCGGGACGCGTGCGAAAGGTGCTGCGGAAGGTTTTGAACTTCTAAGGCCTTCGAAAGCTGCTGCAGAGGGTTTTGAAGTTCTAAGGCCTTCGAAAGCTGCTGCGGGGGTTTGGAGGATTCCTGCCCAAAACGTGCCACGTAGCAGTGTCGAAGCCCAACAGAAACAGCTTGTGGGGCCCAGGGCGGTACCATGGCCAAAGCAAGCGGGACGCCTTCGAAAGCTGCTGCGGAGGGTTTTGAGGTTCTAAGGCATTCGAAAGCTGCTGCGGGGGTTTTGAAGGTTTTAAGGCCTGCGCAAATCGTGCCACGTAGCAGTTTCGAAGCCCGATAGAAACAGCTTGAGGAGCCTAGGGAGGTACTATCGCCAAGCAAGCGGGTTGCCTTCGAAAGCTGCTGCGGGGGGCTTTGAGGTGAAGCCCAATAGAAACAGCTTGTGGAGCCTATTTGAAACCCAATAGAAACAGCTTGTGGGGCCTACGGAGGTAAATGGCCAAGCAAGCGGGACGCCTGCGAAAGCTGCTGCGGGAGGTTTTGAACTTCTAAGGCCTTCGAAAGCTGCTGCGGGGTTTTTGAGGGTTTTAAGGCCTGCCCAAAACGTGCCACGTAGCAGTTTCGAAGCCCAATAGAAACAGCTTGTGGGGCCTACCGAGGTACCATGGCCAAGCAAGCGGGACGCCTTCGAAAGCTGCTGCGGAAGGTTTTGAACTTCTAAGGCCTTCGAAAGCTGCTGCGGGGCTTTTGAAGGTCTTAAGGCCTGCCCAAAACGTGCCACGTAGCAGTTTCGAAGCCTAATAGAAACAGCTTGCGGGGCCTACGGAGGTACCATGGCCCTTCGCAAGCTGCTGCGCTTTTGAAGGTTTTAAGGCCTGCCCAAAACGTGCAACGTAGCAGTTTCGAAGCCCAATAGAAACAGCTTGTGGGGCCTACCGAGGTACCATGGCCAAGCAAGCGGGACGCCTGCGAAAGCTGCTGCGGGAGGTTTTGAACTTCTAAGGCCTTGGAAAGCTGCTGCGGGGTTTTTGAGGGTTTTAAGGCCTGCCCAAAACGTGCCACGTAGCAGTTTCGAAGCCCAATAGAAACAGCTTGTGGGGCCTACCGAGGTACCATGGCCAAGCAAGCGGGACGCCTGCGAAAGCTGCTGCGGAAGGTTTTGAACTTCTAAGGCCTTCGAAAGCTGCTGCGGGGCTTTTGAAGGTCTTAAGGCCTGCCCAAAACGTGCCACGTAGCAGTTTCGAAGCCTAATAGAAACAGCTTTCGGGGCCTACGGAGGTACCATGGCCCTTCGCAAGCTGCTGCGCTTTTGAAGGTTTTAAGGCCTGCCCAAAACGTGCCACGTAGCAGTTTCGAAGCCCAATAGGAACAGCTTGTGGGGCCTACGGAGGTACCATGGCCAAGCAAGCGGGACGCCTGCGAAAGCTGCTGTGGGGGGTTTTGACGTTCTAAGGCCTTCGAAAGCTGCTGCGAAAGTTTTGATGGTTTGAAGGGGTGCCCAAAACGTGCCACGTAGCAGTTTGAAGCCCAATAGAAACAGCTTGTGGGGCCTACGGAGGTACCATGGCCAAGCAAGCGGGACGCCTTCGAAAGCTGCTGCGGAAGGTGTTGAACTTCTAAGGCCTTCGAAAGCTGCTGCGGGGCTTTTGAGGGTCTTAAGGCCTGCCCAAAACGTGCCACGTAGCAGTTTCGAAGCCCAATAGAAACAGCTTGTGGGGCCTACGGAGGTACCATGGCCAAGCAAGCGGGACGCCTGCGAAAGCTGCTGTGGGGGTTTTGACGTTCTAAGGCCTTCGAAAGATAGCTGAGGATTGGAGGTTTTGAAAACTTTTAAGGCCGCCCACCAAAAAGTGCCACGTAGAGTTTCGCCAAAAGCCCAATAGAAACAGCTTGTGGGGCCTACGGAGGTACCATGGCCAAGCAAGCGGGACGCCTGCGAAAGCTGCTGCGGAAGGTTTTGAACTTCTAAGGCCTTCGAAAGCTGCTGCGGAGCTTTTGAAGGTCTTAAGGCCTGCCCAAAACGTGCCACGTAGAAGTTTCGAAGCCAACAGAAACAGCTTGTGGGGCCTACGGAGGTACCATGGCTAAGCAAGCGGGACGCCTTCGAAAGCTGCTGCGGAAGGTTTTGAACTTCTAAGGCCTTCGAAAGCTGTTGCGGTGCTTTTGAAGGTTTTAAGGCTTGCCCAAAACGTGCCACGTGGCAGTTTCGAAGCCCAATAGAAACAGCTTGTGGGGCCTAGGGGATACCATGGCAAAGCAAGCGGGACGCCTGCTGCTGCGGGAGGTTTTGAATTTCTAAGGCCTTCGAAAGCTGCTGCGGAGCTTTTGAGGGTTTTAAGGCCTGCCCAAAGCGTGCCACGTAGCAGTTTCCAAGCCCAATAGAAACAGCTTGTGGGGCCTACCGAGGTACCATGGCCAAGCAAGCGGGACGCGTGCGAAAGGTGCTGCGGAAGGTTTTGAACTTCTAAGGCCTTCGAAAGCTGCTGCGGATGGTTTTGAAGTTCTAAGGCCTTCGAAAGCTGCTGCGGGGTTTTTGAGGGTTTTAAGGCCTGCCCAAAACGTGCCACGTAGCAGTTTCGAAGCCCAATAGAAACAGCTTGTGGGGCCTAGGGGATACCATGGCCAAGCAAGCGGGACGCCTGCGAAAGCTGCTGCGGAAGGATTTGAACTTCTAAGGCCTTGGAAAGCTGCTGCGGAGGTTTTGAAAATTTTAAGGCCTGCCCCAAAACGTGCCACGTAGCAGTTTCGAAGCCCAATAGAAACAGCTTGTGGGGCCTACGGAGGTACCATGGCCAAGCAAGCGGGACGCCTGCGAAAGCTGCTGCGGAAGGTTTTGAACTTCTAAGGCCTTCGAAAGCTGCTGCGGAGCTTTTGAAGGTCTTAAGGCCTGCCCAAAACGTGCCACGTAGAAGTTTCGAAGCCAACAGAAACAGCTTGTGGGGCCTACGGAGGTACCATGGCTAAGCAAGCGGGACGCCTTCGAAAGCTGCTGCGGAAGGTTTTGAACTTCTATGGCCTTCGAAAGCTGTTGCGGGGCTTTTGAAGGTTTTAAGGCTTGCCCAAAACGTGCCACGTAGCAGTTTCGAAGCCCAATAGAAACAGCTTGTGGGGCCTAGGGGATACCATGGCCAAGCAAGCGGGACGCCTGCTGCTGCGGGAGGTTTTGAATTTCTAAGGCCTTCGAAAGCTGCTGCGGAGCTTTTGAGGGTTTTAAGGCCTGCCCAAAGCGTGCCACGTAGCAGTTTCCAAGCCCAATAGAAACAGCTTGTGGGGCCTACCGAGGTACCATGGCCAAGCAAGCGGGACGCGTGCGAAAGGTGCTGCGGAAGGTTTTGAACTTCTAAGGCCTTCGAAAGCTGCTGCGGATGGTTTTGAAGTTCTAAGGCCTTCGAAAGCTGCTGCGGGGGTTTGGAGGATTCCTGCCCAAAACGTGCCACGTAGCAATGTCGAAGCCCAACAGAAACAGCTTGTGGGGCCTAGGGCGGTACCATGGCCAAAGCAAGCGGGACGCCTTCGAAAGCTGCTGCGGAGGGTTTTGAGGTTCTAAGGCATTCGAAAGCTGCTGCGGGGGTTTTGAAGGTTTTAAGGCCTGCGCAAATCGTGCCACGTAGCAGTTTCGAAGCCCGATAGAAACAGCTTGGGGAGCCTAGGGAGGTACTATCGCCAAGCAAGCGGGTTGCCTTCGAAAGCTGCTGCGGGGGGCTTTGAGGTGAAGCCCAATAGAAACAGCTTGCGGAGCCTATTCGAAGCCCAATAGAAACAGCTTGTGGGGCCTACGGAGGTACCATGGCCAAGCAAGCGGGACGCCTGCGAAAGCTGCTGTGGGGGGTTTTGACGTT